GTTTTTTAAGTTGTTCCCTGGATGCCCCATAATAGAGTCAGGTGATATTGTTCGAAAGCCTCCTTACCTTGGGGATGTGGGTAGCCTGTGACGGAGCCAGTCGGGATTAGAGGTGGGTTCTCTTCTGGCCTGAGAACAGCCTTAGCTGCTTCTCTATATATTCTATCTCTTTCTTCAGAGGTGAAAAGGACCGGTAAGAGCTGCTGGCAATCATCCCAAGTGGGCTGGTGGGTGTGAAACACAGTTTTTAACAGAGAGATTAATCGTTGGGGTTTGTCACAGAAAGAGGGTTTTTGTTGTTTCCAATATATAGGTCACTAGTGGAGAAGGGGACATATATCATGAAAGGCCAGCAAACAACAGAGTAATAAGTGATTCAGGGGCCAGCAAATCAATTGTTAAACAGCTTGCCTGTGAGAATGTTAATAAGCCTTGCAGAGAGGTGTTGAGCCCTCACCACAAAGAAGCCAATACATCTGAATACATTCACATCTGTTCAGATATTGGGTCCTCCCATACATAGGGGGCCGCAACAGTTGAGGCTTTGAGAGAAGCCTTCCCTGCTGGTAAGGAAGGAGGAAGAGGTAAAGAATTTTCATCTTTTTTATTCCTTCATGTCAATTTCCTATCTCCTATCACTCATAAATCTTTTTTTTTTTCTTTATCCTCACCTGAGGACATTTCTCCATTTTTGCTCAGACAGAGTGGGAGGGAGAGAGAGGAAGAGAGAGAGAGAAACATTGACGTGAAAGGAACACATCAAGTGGCTGCCTCCTGCACATCCCCAACTGGGGCCGGGGACAAACTGCAACCGAGGTATGTACCCTTAGCGGGAACCAAACCCGGGTCTCTCTGGACCACAGGTGGACGCTCTAACCGCTGAGCCAAACTGGCCAGGGCCATAAATCTTAAATCCTTATTATTTTTATAATTTCCTTTCACAAAACCCTTCTCAGGTGGAGATCCAAAGTACATCAGAGGTATCAGTAACCATAGCTCAGATCCATTTATTCCTTTTTATATGTGAGTAAATTGTAGCATCATGAAAGAAAAAACTTTCTCAGTTAAACCAAAAAGAGCTTGATCCTCAGGCCTCTGGGGCTTAATCACGTTCTTTCTTTAAATAATCCAAGCATGACTTTACAAATATATTATATGCCCGTTGAGAGTGAGGACTGTGTTTGTATAACCCACAGCATTAGTAGAGACCTACATATAAGAGGCATTCTATGCATCTGCTAAGTGAACAAATAATCACTCTTAGTGTGTATGCTCTTGCATTTGGAGTTTGTGTTTGTTTGTTTTCCCCTTATCCATACTCCAGTGAGGAAATAGACTTGTGTTAAGCTATCTGCATTGATTTGGTTTCCTTTCATAAGGAGAGAAAACAAATCCTTGAGGAATTTCAGGTTAAGAAAAAGTTTCTTAAAATTCAAATCCTGGGAAAGTTGTCAAACATATTTGACCAAAAGATTATATAGTATCCTTATTAAACAGTATTCAATTGTTTATTCATTTAAAGTGACAACAACAGATGTTAAATATAAACATAGATCAGTGAAACTTCAGTTCTTATGATTAAGAAAATGGGTCTTTAAGGAATCAAGTACCTGATTAACATAACATAGAACCATTTCAATAATATATATAACTTTTGTTTCCCAGGTAAACACAGGGGAAAAAGACATTTTCCCTTTTAATAGGCTGAAAAAGAACCAAATAAATTCTATATTAATTTATTTTAGATTCATGTATCTTATTAAATTCATTATTTATCTTATTTATGATTTCTTTTTAAGATTTCTCTTAATAAATCTTTTAATTTTCATAAACCTTTTTATCTATCCAAAAATAACCAGTTTTAGAACAACTTTCTTTCAAAAAATATATATATTGCTATATCTTATATCTTCTTTCATCAAAATCATACAATTTCTTCCCAACTAAATCTGAACTTTTAACTCTTAGAAATATTGATTTTTTTCTTTTTTTGTTTGTGTGACAAATAATTAACATTCCTCAGATTGGAAAATATATTCATATTTTCAATAGACATTTTTCAAATCAACAGATCATTAACAGATCCAAATCTAGGCAAACTCAGGTTAATTAACATTTTAGTATATCCTCAGGGGGGTCCTGAAGAACAGGATATAACTTCCTCAGGGGCTGGGAGGAGTTCTTCAGGGCAGACTAAAGCATTATTAACAAAACTGTTTTTCCTTTCTTTTGAACCTCTGGACACTGACATTTTTTAATATAATTGGGTTTGTCTGTAGTTATGTCAATCCAAGTATCAATATATTGCATTTGATCTGGGTGTCCAGGGTTCCCATATATTTTCTGACAGACCATAAAAGCCAAATGCAAATTAAATTACCTTCAGGTGGCCAATTAACCCTGTAGGTAGGCCATTCAAGTTCGCATAGTGTCCCTAAAATCCCTGAGCTTATCAGGACATGGTAGCTTTTTGCCCGAGCTTTTAAATCTTTAAAATTATCCATCCAATAGGCACTGCAATGGAGTTTTTGTACCAGATTGGCTTTGGCCCATGACAACAAAGGGAAGTACAGACAATCCAGAGGGCCAATAAACAAACAAAAAAACAATACAGAACTGACTGAAACCAAAGTTACTGAAACCAAAAAACAGAACTAACAACTGACTGAAGTTACAGAACTGACGGAAGCCCTGGCCAGTTTGGCTCAGCGGTTAGAGCGTCGGCCTGCGGTCTGGAGGAGAACTGACTGAAGTTCCCTGTGACGTATTGCTAAGGAACCTGGCTGGGGAAGTAATGCCGCGTCCAGCCTTTTCCCTTGCCACTGAAAGGTGCCCAACAGAACAGAAAACAGTACTCACTGGTGAGATTCCAGATGACTCGGATGAATCCAGATGCTCTCTCAGAATTCAATTTAGAGCAGGATTTGAGACTGGGCTAGGGAAACTGGGAGGGCATGCTTAGTCCTGAGGCAGAGGAAATGTCCCTCAGAGGCCTTCCTCCAGACCAGCCCCCCCTCCCCCGCAGTTTTGATAGCTCATCTAGTGGTCCAGTCTGAGGCTTCCCTGAAACGGAAGAATCTCACTGGCACCTCCAAATGTTGTAGTGCGAGAGAACGAGAGACCACCAAAGCCAAATTAAAGCCAAATAGAGAGCAAAGCCGGCCAGCAACTGATCCCAAGTTCTCAGAGATCAGCCCCGACTTTCAGCTACTTTTTTATTTTATAGGGGGATTATTACAAACTTCTGCAATTGGCATTTCTTGTTGGCCTTGGGGGAGAGCAAGCAAGCAAGTACAGAAGCGAAGGCAGTTAGCAATAAGTAGGAGGGAACGGAGGTGGGAGGGAGTTGAGGTGGAAGGGAACTAGGTGAACTGGGTCATCATACATCTATCCTATTCATTCTATTTTCTAAGTTCTAAAAACTAACAAATTCGCTTAAAGAACAAATTCATTTAGAGGAGTACCAGGCCAGCTGGTACTTCCTCAGTTTGCCTCTGAAAGCTTCATAGTTGGCCTTTTGTTTATTTAATCAGGACGAGGTGATAAGAGCAGGCCTGTACATAAACCAATTTTTGTTAAATTACCTGTGATAAACTTACACAACATTATTTGTCAATTATAAATAAAACTGTGGAATGAATTACCAGTTGTTAAAATCTCAACCTGTCATGGACTGATATGTTTACTTGAAACAGTGGAATTAAAGAATAAAGATTATAGCCCTGGCCGGTTTAGCTCAGCTGTTAGAGCATCGGCCTGTGACCGGAGAGTCCTGGATTTGGTTCCCAACAAGGGCATGTACCTTAGTTGCAGTTTGTCCCCGGCCCTGGTTGGGGTTGTGTGGGTGGTGACCGGTCTATGTGTCTTTCTCACATTGATGTTTCTCTCTCTCTCTCTCTCTCTCTTCCCTCCTCTCTCCCTCCCACTCCGTCTGAAGATAAATGCAAAAAATGTCCTCAGGTGAGGATTAAAAAAAAAGAATAAAGATTACAAAGTGCAAGCCCAGCCCAGCTGGTGTGGTTCAGTGGATTGAGCATCATCCCATGGACTGAGAGGTCCTGGTTCGATTCTGAGTCAGGGCACATGCCTGGGTTGTGGGCTTGATCCCCAGTAGGGGGCTTGCAGGAGGCAGCTGATGGATGTTTCTCCCTCACATTGATGTTTCTATTTCTCCCTTCCTCTCTCTCTAAAATATCAATAAAAACATATTTTTAAAAAGTGAAAGCCCAGTTTCTCAATTATTAGATTAAATTGACATAAAATCACTGTCAGATTGCTATGAATGTTTCTAAGAGCTTACTCTTTCTTGATTTCTGTACTATCTTGCCCCAGACTGGTAACTACACAGTTTGTGGACCACATTCTGATTAGCAGTGGCATAAACCATTCTAGGCCTAAAAAATCTCATTATCTATTAAACCAAATATAAACTTCTCACCATTGGCCCTTACGTTCTCTCCCATATAAGCTATTGTTTTTAACCTATTCCGTTTTTGCCTTTGTTTACTCAAAGCATCCTGAATATATCTCGTTGGTGTTATATCACAACAGAAATAGTTACTGTCCTTAGAAAGCTTTCCTAGCACAAACTTACCTAATTATTATGTCTTCAGCATTTGTATTTTCTTATATTTACTAGTACAGATTTATATAATTTGATAAATCACTTCAGAGTAGTCTGATTTTTATCACAAATATTAAAATGTCTAGCCCTGGCTGGTTTGGCTCAGTGGATGGAGTGTCAGCCTGTGGAACAGAGTCCTGGGTTCAGTTCCTGCTAGGGGCATGTACAAATATATATATATATATATTAAAATGTCTAGAATATAGCTACATAGATACCAAAACAATAAAGAGTATATATAAATAATTACCTGCCTAAGAATATATGTATGTGGGCAGGTAAATTACTGGTATTTATGTAAATACTGCTTTTTACTATGGGAATTTGTATTCACCCCTTTTCTCCCATGCCTTGCTTTCTCTTATTTTCTTTCCAGGCATATCTCCATTAACTCTAGACCCTAAAACAGCTCACCCAAATTTGGTGCTCTCCAAAAACCGAACCAGTGTGTGGCATGGTGACACTAAGCAGATAATGCCTGATGATCCAGAGAGATTTGACTCAAGTGTGGCTGTGCTGGGCTCAAAAGCCTTCACATCTGGAAAATGGTACTGGGAAGTAGAAGTAGCAAAGAAGACAAAGTGGACAGTTGGAGTTGTCAGAGAATCCATCATTCGGAAAGGCAGCTGTCCTCTAACTCCTGAAGAAGGATTCTGGCTTTTAAGACTAAGGAACCAAAATGATCTAAAGGCCCTGGATTTGCCTTCTTGTAGTCTGAAATTGACTGACAACCTCAGCAAGGTGGGCATATACCTAGATTATGAAGGAGGGCAGGTGTCCTTCTACAATGCTAACACCATGATCCACATTTACACCTTCAGTAGCACTTTCGTGGAAAAACTTTATCCTTACTTCTGCCCTTGTCTTAATGATGGTGGAGCGAATAAAGAACCATTACATATCTTACATCCACAGTAATTAGTCATACTATTGTGTAAAATCAGAGCATTATTAAAGAAGTACTGAAATAGTTTACCAGTCTCACTGGTTTCTCTTCCCAATTTAATAGTGAATAATAAAAAGAATTCTCAGTGTCGTAAGTGGATTTCACCAGAGCCTTTTGAGATGTCATTCTAATTCATTAGGGTCTTCTATGACACAGGAGCCTATCATGCTATTGTTACCAAAACAAACTGCAACTTGAGTTTGTGTTGCTTGGGAACCCTTTTCAAATGTGCCTAGAAATTCTATTATGCTGTCATTAGTCTCCAGTATAATGATTTGTATTGGAAGAATTTTCAGATGTATACTCCTCTTCCTATTTTATTTGTTTTGTAGTCCTCACCTGAGGATATTTTTTTTCCCTTTGTTTTAGAGACAGTAGAAGGGGGGAGGAGGAGGAGAGAGAGAGGAACATTGATGTGAGAGAGACACATTGATTGGTTGCCTCCTGCACATGCCCCTACCAGGGACAGGGATTGAACCTGCAACCCAGGTACATTCCCTTGACCGAAATCGAATGAGAGACCAATTTGGTGCTCAGTCTGATGCCCTAACCACTAAGCACACCAACCAGGGCTTTTCTTTTCTTTTTAAAAAATTTTTTTATTCTCACCTGAGGATATTTTTCCATTTATCTTCAGATAAAATGGGAGGGAGGGAGGGAGAGAGAGAAACATCGATGTGAGAGACACATTGATTTGTTGCCTCCCACACCACCCTGACCAGGGCCAGGGACAAACTGCAACTGAAGTATGTGCCCTTGGCAGGGATCGAACCCGTGACTCTTTGGTCCCCAAGCTGATGCTCTAACCACTGAGCTAAACTGTCCAGGGTAGGGCTTTTCTTCTCTGTGTTTGATCTTCACTTGAGGATATGTTTTTCATTGATTCTAGAGAGAGAGGAAGGGAGAGGGAGAGAGAACATTGATTAGTTGCTTCCCTTACACACCCTGACTTGGGATCGAATCCACAACTTGGGTATGTGCTCTGACCAGGAACTGAACCTGCTACCTTTTGGAGCATGGGAGGATGCTCTAACCAACTGAATCACACTGGGTAGGGTTTAATTTTCTTTTAATATAATTTTGCAACACATCTCTTTTCTAGAAATTGTTACTGTAATTTTTAAAAACGGCCCTGGCCAGTTTGGCTCAGTGATTAGAATCTTGGCCCGCATACCGAAGGGTCTTGGGTTTGATTCCCAGTCAAAGGCACCTACCTGAGTTGCAGGTTTGATCCCTGGCCCCAGTCAGGGTTGTGCAGGAGGCAACCAACTGATGTGTTTCTTTCACATTGATGTTTTTCTCTTTCTCTTCCTCCCTCCCTCCTTTCAACTCTACCTAAAAAGTCAATGGGAAAATATCTTTTTAAAAAAAGAAGAAAATTGCTCCAGAGTTTTAAAGAAAATAGTCTGGGCCAGTTTAATTTTTTTAAAATATTTTTTCTTTATTGGTTTTAGAGGGAGAGGGAGAGATAGAAACATCTATGAGAGAGAACATCGATTGGCCACCTCCTGCATGCCCCCCCTGTAAGGATTGGGCCCACAACCTGGGCATGTGCCCTGACCAGGAAGTGAACTGGTGACCTGTTGGTGCATGGGTCAATGTTCAACCACTGAGTCACACTGGCCAGGCTGGGCCATTTTATAATCTTGTCTTGAATTAGTTCAAGATACTTTTTAGTCCAGCAAATCTCAGACTTTCTCAGCCCCTTTTTCTTTCTTTATCTACCTATGGGGGAACTTGTTTTTCTGTATTCAAATACATTTAAGCATTTCCACCTGCTATGTCCTTTTCATCATTCCTGTCTATACTTTAAATACCAGCATTTTTCATCGTGTCCTCTCCAATGTACTCATCCTACAGCTTGTTCTTTCTTTCTAAGTCTGAAGTACTTAACATTAGTGATCTCAGCAGTACCCTTGATGAACCATCCCTATTTCCTTTCCTTGGAAGTCCCATATAACTGGGCTTCATTCTCTATATTTGACAGGCTTTTTCTTTAGGGGAGGGAAATGGGTATTTAGAACCTGCAGCAATAGCCATCTAAAATTACAGTTAGCACAGCTCTTCAGCAGGGTGAAAGCACCCATCTGTCATAATGGGAAGAGTACATACATATTACAGGTAATAGTCATGTATCATTGGCATATATAACACACATACATTTACAGCTGCTTAGTGGGGTATAGAGCCATGACATGATTATGGTTACATTTAAGAAATTACTTTTCAAAAATGAATTCACTTCAATCAAAATGTAATGAGGATTAAAAAAAATTGTTTTAAGTATGTCTTTATTGATTTCAGAAAGAGAGGAAGGGAGAGGGAGAGAGAGAGAGAAAAACATCGATGGGCTCCCTCCTGCATCCCCCCTAGTGGAGATCAAGCCTGCAACCCGGGCTAATAGAACTGGCTACCTCTCCCTGCATGGGATGACGCTCAACCAGCTGAGCCACACCAGGCAGGGCGGGACTTGTTTTATGCCTGAAACCTTGCAAGATGTTTTAAAAGAAGCACAAAATGAAAAAAGATTCCTCCATACATATCCAAAAGAAATTCAGATGCTTGGATCCCACCCAAAACCAATTAAAGCAAAATCTCAAGCAGGTGGGACCAGGCATTTGTAGTTTCTACAATCTCTCATGTGATTCTCATGGGCTACTTGGTCAGAGAACCATTGAACTAAACAAATAAATTTTCTTAAAAATTTAAAAAATTCAAACACACAGAAAAATTGCACATTTGTATGATAAGCTCCCATGTACTCTCTACCTAGATTCACCAATTATTAATATTTTTCCACATTTTCTTAGTCTCCCCCATATCCACTCCATATGATTTTGTGTATGTATATAATTATTACTAATGTTTTTTTGCTGAACCACCTTAGATTAAGTTGCAGGCATTATAATTCTTCTCCCTAAATACTTTAGCAAGTATCTCCTAAGAACCAAGATATTCTCCATATAATCACTATCAGATTCAGAAAATTTAACATTGACACAATACTACTTACTAGCTACTATTCCGTCCATATTCAGTAAGTAAATATTTTGAATAATGGGGGTTTAGGAACGGTGGTAAAGAATTTCAAGTAGTATGACAAGGAGTTTGGGGGATAGAAGAGGGCTTAGTTGCTACCTCTCAAGTGATATGCATAGTCCTGGATAATTGATATCTAAAATCTGTCCTTGGGGAAATACAAGTATTACAGAGTTCAGAGAAAGGAGAGGTCAATATTCACCAGAATAGGAAGAAAAAAATCATAAGAAAAAATTGTGATTAAATTGGATAGTTAAAAATGAGTAGGAATGAATAAAAATTCTAATCTGAACTTGGAGAAATAAATTTTTCTTAAAAATAATTTTTTTGTGGTGATGGTTGTATAGCTATATAAATATGCTAGAAATTAGTGAACTGTACACTTATAATGGGCAGATTTTACAGGTTGTAAATTATACTACAATAAAGCTGTTTTTTAAAAAAGGGAAAAAAAATTAAGGTTTTATTCAGATCAATAGGAGAAAAAGGACAGACTACAAGTATATACATATTTCCCACTACCTACAGGTGTCCACCTTAATACTTTCTCTAAAATACTACCACAGCTCTTCAGCATTTGCCTTAACATTTAGATGACAAAAATTTATTTTCCCAAATAATCGGTTATTCTACAATGAGTATGAATATAAAACATCAATATGGGACTTCCCTGCTAGATACAGACTCTGAATGGTATTCATTAAGAAGTGTGTCCTGGATGGCTGGTTTGGCTCAGCAGTTGGAACGTCAGCCTGTGGACCTGTGGACCAGAGAGTCCTGGGTTCGGTTCCCATTAGGGGCACGTACCAAAAAAAAAAAAAAAAAAAAGAAGTGTGACTGGAGATGTCATGTATTGTTTTACCTCAGGGTATAGGAGATGAGGCTGATAGTAACAAAAATATCCTTGTATGAAGTAGAAAATAAAAGAAGCCCCATTGTATCAGAATTCACTCAGGTGAAAACCCTAAAAGGAGAATGCCTTGCACTTTTCTTCAACTAACTGGACTTTTACAATAACAGTGGTAATATCATCATTGCATAGTTAGCTGTATAACATAGCTGAGATACAGAATAAAAAAATAGTAAAACTGGATTACCAGATGAGTAAATGTGCTTTATTCAAGACCAAATATTTAATGAACTATTTTAGATAAAATTCTCCTAAGCTGACATACTTACTTGACTATTTAAAAAAATTAAATTGTAGACTCTCGGATGACGGTGTCTGTAAAGATGGTGGTGGGCAGGACTGGAGGGAGGGTGAGTGTGTGAGAGAGTGAGCTAGTGTGTAAGAGAGTGTGAGTGGACCAGAAGGTGGACGACCAAACTTGTGCAGTGCAGAGACATGGAGCAGAAGGTACCTGTGCTGTAGACAGGAGTAGCCAGCTACCGTGGTAAGTGGTTCTTTAGGGCACTTCTCCCTGGGCCCCGGGGAGGTCCCACAATTTTGGAAGATCCCCGGTCTTCCCTGGAAGGAGGCAGTGGGAGCAGCTAGGGCCAAGCAACATGAGCCCACAAGTACACCTGGCACCATCGAACCAGTGGACACTCTGTGTCAACACAGACAGGTGCACAGTAGTGGAGCTCCCAAGGTGCCAGTCACAGAAGCTGAGGACAGCCAGGAGCCCAGCACCATCCCCCATAGTAGCAGTTCGATCTGAGTCGAGATATACCCCCAGCAACAGAGGATGGGGAGCAGACATCCATCCCCAGGCAACAGAAGCACAGACCAGCAGCTGAGACCCACCCCAAAAAACTACAGCAAACGCTGAGCAGGAGTTGAGCCCCATGAAGCAGCAGCATTCCCCAGCTACCAGTGGTGGTACCTGGGGCTCCAAGGAGGCCTGTGAGGTCCAGCAGCTCACAAGAGCAGTGGGAAGCCAGAGCCTGAGACTGGTGTGATCCTGCAGGGAGCCGGGGCACCAGAGAGGCCTGTGTGACCCAGTAGGGACTGTGCGATCCAATTCCATGCGGGACCCTGCGGGGTG